CAAAAATAAAATTAAATTAAAGCACCTCTTCCCTCTCAGACCACAAGTAATAAGCAAAGATAACATGTCTGAATGAGAGATTGTTAAGTTCTAATACTAACATTCTCTAGTTTACAGTAGCACAGAGCTGGAGTGATGCCCAGCATATCCAGTGGACTATATATTGCAGTAATTGTCTATCCTCTTTTATGACGATATGAATCTTAGGAATAAATACTAAATGTGATGTCTGAAATAGAAGGGGAAAGTGACTGAACGAGATACTTTTAAAAAGTTGTGTTGGTAACTCCAAGCTGACCCCCCTCCCCCCCCAAAAATAATTATTTCTGCTCTTTAACATGTAACTAATACATTTATGAACTGTTGATGACTTTTTCTTTTTAATGTAGTGAAAATAAATTTTTAAAGCACATTTTTGAAAGTTCACAGATTTTCTAGTGATTCTTTAGAGAACAACTTTTCTGATCGGAAGCACCTGTTCTTTAAATATGAGTTGGTGCTTTATTTTCAGCTTGCACTATCTCAAAAGGCAAATATAAGTTAAAAAACTATCATTATTCAAGAACAGAATGAACAATGCCCATTTTTTGGTATTTAATTCGTTAGGAATGAAACAATGTAGAAGAAAGAAGAAAAGAAAAGCGGGTAAAAAAGAAATAAAAAAGAGAGAATCAAAAAATAACGTCAATTCAAAGTCAAAAATTAGACATCTTATTGACAACAAAATTTGAATGGAAGAAACAAACATTAACCTACAATACCCAATTTGTACCTGGAATACAAATTGTGGTATAACTTTCATTTTCTCCCCCATTGCAGATATATTTAGTTTTTTTCAGACATGTATTCTAGCTACATTTGTTAGAAGAAATAGTCAGATGCACTGATGGTTCCTATTTCATCTTCATTGAATAAACGATATGAGGAATAACGATCTGAAGTTTACTGACTCAAATACTGGAAAGAAAGAATGAAAAAACCGTTTGATCTTCTTAGGGACATATTGGGATACCAACTGAAAAACCCACATTGCCACTTTTCTCAGCAGGTTTTCTGTGCTTGCTGAGAGTTGAGAGGAAATCGAGATGAAAAGCCATGTTTTTTATATCAGTTCAATGTAAACCATAACAACATCTGAAATTGTAAAAATACCAACCCAATTAGTTTTCTGATTGTTTATTAAAAGATGATTTGCTTGCTAAACTGTTTCCAATCAGTTTCTCTATTGATCTATTGTCTCCAGCATTCCCTTCTACAACCGTTTTTAGTAATCCAAATCCTTTTGAAGCTTGAGGAATCCCTTTCTGTTCTCTTTCATTGCACTAACCAGCTACAAGGTAGTTTCTTTTTACCATCCACACATCAGTGAACATCTGTTAACGTAAATGCAGAAGTACCATAAAATAGCAAAAAATTTAAAAGAAATAATTATAAAACAGGAGGGACAAAATTAAGTGATAATATGAGACATCTCAAATTGGGCACTCAAACTTTCAGAATGACATCACACAAGTATGAAGTAAAATTGAAGAGAGAGGAAAAAAAAAAAGAAGATGAAAGAGAAGAAATTCTTTGTGAAGCAGACTATTTACCTCGCAGATTTTTAGAAACACATCTTGTACATCAAAAATGCAGCCAAGAGGAGACTTCACAAAACATTTAAAAAGTTGTTTCACTATTTTCACTACTGAAGCAAAAGAGATAAAATACTTTGGCCAAAGTTATGATTGAAATCACTCATCTCATAAGCTAATATTACACGAAATTTCTAACACATGTCAACTCTGTATGTGGAAGAGTTACAGGGGTATCTCATTCGGTTCCTTTCCCCTATTTGATTAAAGTAGTAGTGTATCCTCTTCCAAAAAGTATAAAATGCAGAAAGTAAATTGACAAATCATGGTAACTCATCATTATTAAATCATTGTTAATCCTGCCAAGAGATCAAATTTTTGATGAAAACTTTACTTCCTAAAGAATATTTGTTCTTTTTTCATTTTCTTGCTGCTTCTTGTGCTACAATAAAACTGTACCCAGATTCAAGGCTCTCTTTTGCAGTCTACCTACATAAATAATATATTTTTTCAATCTCTTTGCAGAAAATTCATGGAAAACATTGTTACATTTACAAAGTATTTACAAGTATTTGCAACAAATGTAGATTAAAAGACGAATAGCCTATTTACTATTCTGTTCCCACAAGTAAGTACTGTGGAGGTGCACTAATTGCAACACAGAAGCAATCTTTTTACTGACAGGAAAAACTCGATCAAAATATTGATTATAAATATAGTAGATAACAATAGTGACAATGTGGCATACTAACAAATTATTTTTGAATTTTCCATTAAGCATTTCACAAATATTCAACGTCTGTAAATTTAAAAAATCCTTTTGCAAAGAATTAACAACATAACTTTTACTCTTAAGTTTACCTATATTGATTAGTATAATCCACTGCAATTTGGGCATGCACTGCAATAAATTTGTTAACCATAAATATTTTTTGCAGATTTATATTTTTAACAAGCTAAGTATCACCTCAAGTCCAAATTGCAGAGTAATAAATGTTTCCAGACAGAAAATATTATGGACACTTTTATCAAGTGTTAGTTTTTAGTCATTTAGATTTGATATCAAAAGCAAACACTTGCTAACATAGAGCACAACTGCCAACCATTTATGATGACACTCCAAGGATATTGGTGAAATATTTCCTTTAATGAGGCATAATCCTGCTTAACCAACATGAAGTTTTAGAAAAATTAGTTACAATAATCAAATTATATATCTTTCCTGCATAATCAGGATATAATAAACACATTGAGGACCTCCCTGACCAGTATTTACAATTACACATCACACTTGAAAACATAAAACCTCAAGATCAATGTGGATTGGGAAGTAAAGAAATGACTGCAAAAGACAATTTAGAAGCTGAAGATTGTGAAAATAATTTGAAGTTGAAAAGAAACTTCATTTCATTTTTATATATTTAGTGTGCCACATATCATATTAAAAAATGTATGAAGATTGTACAATTGATAAAGATGTTAGAAAATTAAATTATCTCCAAATCTTGGAGCATAAAATAACATCTCAGAAAAAATGGTGAACTTTATTGAAGGCAGCTGCTACCTCCCTAAAACAATTTTGGATATATAATTATTAATTTTTTCACAACTTCCACATTTTAAATCACATCAGGAGAATTTTGTAAGATTTTTTTGTGATCATTAGTAAATAGAATAAAATACTCAAATGTAATGAATTATACATTTTCAGTGATTAATTGGTTTTAGGTCATACACCAAGATAGTAAAAACAAATATCTCAGAAGTATGGCATAAACTGAATCAAAAATAGTAACGTTATCAACAATGAAATCTCTATTAGTCATTTATGCAGTTCAAAACATGAATACAATTACTGAATCACTAAAGCAGTAATAGATTGGTGTGAAAATGGTAAAATTACTGTTAAAAATAAACATTAAAAAAGCAACTTTTATGTCAGAGAACAAAAAGGAAATATTGGTCTGTTACTTGAAAAATCACGCCAATATTGTAACTAACATCATAAATGAAGACATAAATAATAATAATACAATGAAAAAAGTTTTCATCTTTGTTCAACATCTTCAACATGTGTTATAATCATTTCAATTTCTGTAATCCAACATATTGAAAAAGTCTTGAAATTTAAATGTACCTTTATTTTCTATATTGAGGAGACAAGAATGAATAAAATATAGTTATTAAAGATTATTTTTAATTTTTATATAAGGAAGGAAAGAAAGCATGAATGCTGGATAAGCCAAAACAGAAAGGCAGGACAATGTGATGTTTTCCAACAACCCACCCTTTCCCCTAGGGGATGTAAGGTTGCTATAGGGTCTTCAGTGGCCCATTTTCTTCAGATACGACATTGCTTCCACTTGTGTATTTTCTATCAACCTTCCTGCCCACATCTTTTTTGTTTTACTTTAAAGCAATTAGGTCGGGGTTGTCCAACTGGCAGTCTGCAGTGCCATTTATTGAGGCCTGCAAAATGTTTTTAATCATAAGTGAAAGTCCATTGCTTTCACATCAGGTGAGAACATTATTTTATGTGCATGTGTCTTGTAGGGTCAAAACTCCCTTAATGTAGAAATAGGTTTAATTTATATTTAAGAACTTTTTTCTAGTAAATTCAAAAATTCAAAATCATCCCAACGTGTATCCCTGAGTTGTGCATGGAACGGCCTGACATGCACAACAAAGGGAAACCCTTTCATCTCCCCTCCCCCTTTCTGAGCAGCTGGGGAAACTGCTGAAATCAACAATAAAAAAAAGTCAGAGGTGGAATGCCCGAGTACTGTAAATATGGCCCACAACCATATTAAAGGTTTTATTTGTGGCTCTTGAGGTCTTGGACACTCCTGAGTTAGGTTGCAAAAGGTGTCTTTCCATTTCTTTCTTTCCTTCTTTCTGTATTTCATCAACATTAGGTAGGTCTACTCTTCCAGTAACAGCGTTAAATGGAAAATATCCCAGAATTCTACAGCCACTCCTAACTCTGGGAAAAGGAAAAGGGTTTTGGCATTGAGTATCAATCCAAAACATGGAAAATTAACTGTGTTAAATTTGTTGGCAAATATGTATGTGAATTCTCAACTGCATTACCCCAGGTGAGTAGACACGTGTGCTCACTATTAGTGTATGCATTCTGCTTCATGGATTCTGAAGGGAGCAATGATTTAGGCTTTGAGTAATTAATATAAAAAGTAGCTAAGAGAATGACAAGGAAAAAGGACAGTATCGACTGGTACCTTGTTTATTGGAGGGATAAGAGCCAATTAAAGAAAATCATAGTGCAAGTAGACAAACTTGAAAGACGTGAATTCTCGGCTATCCGGGAGACACCGTGTCATTGGCTGGGGTGCCGACGTTTCGCCTGACATGTCGCAGGCTTCCTCAGGGCAGAAACGTCGGCACCCCAGCCAACGACGCGGCGTCTCCCGGATAGCCGAGAATTCATGGATTCGAGCCGCGGAAGCTTACGTATAAAACTTGAAAGACACATTGCAGTATTCTGAGAACAAAACATTTAGAGGGAAAGAAGAATGAACAACTTTTATCATGTGCGAAGATCCAAAATACAGCAGGCAAAAATTGCAGTATATATTGGTTAGAAAGGTATGGAAAAAATGTATAAGCACTTACAAACGGTATATAGATATGTTTGAACAACCACTAGTGATATTAGGGAAATTATTCAATGATGCTAACTTAAAACACGAAGATAGAAATGCTTCCTAAATACTTTGCTGATATTATGGAAGGACAAAGGAAGTGATAATTATTGAAAGTCTCAACATTACAGTGGGAAATTTACCACAAAGTTGTTGCACCTAAAAGTGTGAAAATGATGATGCAGCAGGAGTTAAAGTTTTATACAAGAATCAACATATTGAGACTAAAACCTTCAAGCAAAGAAATAAAAAAAAAAAAAAAACTTGGGTGAACAGGTAGAAATTTAAACTCAAACATATTTCTGATAGTAAGAGCAAGGAAATACTTTCATACAAGATGAAATAGGGTTTTGAAACAAGTTAAGAAAGTTAATTAATGTAACTCAAACTTAGCTGGAAGCTCTAAATGAAAAAAAATCACAAATTATCTATTGGAGGAAGGTAGAGGAGGGGAAAAAATAAATTATCTAAGTGTCAAGGTTCAAAATTCAGAATTTACATTACTGTAATTTTTTTACACGGGTAAAAATAAGCATTGCATCATTACTTCACTTTTTCCCAAATAATTATTGATGTCTGATTTTACATCAGTCAAATATTTAGAATGATTGCACTCAGTATTTTGTGAGCATATACTTTACTTTGCAAGAACAAAAGATATGTATTTTTTCTGGAAATGCTAAGGAGGCAAAAAAAAAGTTATGAAGTGACAAGGAACTGGTAATGGTGATGGTGATTGAGTGTGACAATGAGGGAGAAATTGTTTCCCTGACATCACGATCATCACTCAGCACCACCTGGCAATCTCTCCTACACAATTAATACCTCAAATAAATTCATAATTATTCTCTTCAGAAACAAGTTAGAGGGAATTATATGTAATATGCATCACAAGTTAAATGGCACAAAAATGGCCATAATTGAACATTAGGTTTCTTGGAAAGTCTCACATTTATAATAGTACATCTTGCAATGCAATGTTTTAAAATACTACCATCTTATCAATTTTTCCAAACTCATCAGAATTTGGTTGAAAGCTGTGCTCTTCTATGTATGTACATACTTATGTTTTGGTTACATCCTGAAATTATATCACTTTTCCTCATTAATTTTTATCAGCATTCAACTACGACTAGCTCTCAAGTCCAATGTACACATAAGAAGCAGGCTAATATTAAGAAATACTATATAGTAATGAGAACTGTGTAAAGCCATTTGGAATGTGGCATCAACAGAGCAATTAATTTTAAGACAAGTTGGAATCAACTTCTCCTTCCAAAAGTCAAACCATACTCTCATACGCATGCACCACATACAGACGATCTTTTTCACATTCTTGCCCCAGTCTCCATACATGCACATTGTTCATTATACAAGTAATCCTTTCAAAGCATATAGTACTATCTTATTTCACAAACAAACATTATGCAGAAAATAGCATTTTAATTTTTCTGTATTATGGCAAAGTACCTAGAAGTACCTTTTAATACAATATAATTAGAACTTATAATTTCATTCTAATTCACTAGGTCTCTGTGTACAAATGCCAACATTGTCTTCACTTAGCACAAAACTCAAAACCTTGACAACTACAGAAATTCAATACAACAGAGCAACAATACAAGTTAGTAAACGGAAGCTTTATCCCTTAATATTATGTGAATGAAAGAACACAACAAGGAACATAGCCCAACTACAAGTAACATGTAAGCCAATTCTGCCAGATTAATCAAGTCTACAAGTAAGAATGCCAACATGTCTACTCGAATGTTTTCATAATAAATTCTGCTACATTGATGAAAAGTCGAGGATCCAGAACACTTATAATTCATATTTTACATCAAGCAAAGCATTTGCAAATTTAGTAAAAAATTACATTATTTTGCTCTTACAGAAATTATCTAACCTTAATGATAAATACAATTTAAAACATTTCATGCTGCAGAAAATTTTCTGATGTTCAATGCCTGCCCATCGAAATGAAATGTGAACGTAAAGAAAAATCTTGTAACACGTTATAGTGGCTTCAAAATATATTACTTCCTTTCTAATAATAATAATAATAATAATAATAATATATTTAACATTTTCTATAACACCCATAAATTTGAAAAAGTTCTAGTAATCAAATACAATAAAGCTTCCCCCCCAGTTTTTAATCATTCAAACAGACAAGGAACTGTATTTGAAGATACTTAGACTAAGAAATAAGAATTTGCTGGATTTTATATTCATTACATCAATGAATATAACGTTTTCAATGAAATAATGAAATAGTTCCTTAATACAGCAAATTCCTAGCTGTAAAAATTATTATAAATAACAGCAGATTATAAATCTTTAAAAAATTTAATAATTATTATTCTGTAAAAGTTAAATAAATAATTAGTACAATGTTCCATATCTAGTTTTAATTTGTTTTGCTTAAATTATTTTAGGTTGCCATTTCCAAAGACTTATCTCACTCGAAATTAAAGAATCTTTTCTCAAAGTAACTGAAAGCTGCCAATTATTCTTAAGAACTAATGACTGCAATAATGGTAACTAGAACGTTGAAATCAAGTAAATATTTCATCAATAGTGAGTATCAAATACTATTCAAAAGATAAAAATTTATTTTTGAAAAACAAAAAACAAACAGGACTTAAGAAACATTAATAAGCAAGCACATTTACAACAAATTAGTGAAGGATAAAGTCAATCAATGTTATTTAATATTTCTATTCATTCCAGTAGCTTCCTTTCTGACAAAGAATAAAACTTATCCTGTGAAGTTCAAATACAATTTATGAAACAAATAAAAACATAATTATAACCAGAGAATTAAATAGGAAGTGGCTAACAAGAATTGATTGTAACTGCTATATTGCATATTGCTTTGTGTAATTTGGATTTTGCATATTTAATGCATAGATTCAGTGAAATTAATGCAGTGAATATTTACTAAATGTACAATTACATTTTTAATAATAATTTGTTGTACAATCATAAAACATACCCACATTGCTCTTGAAACTAACAAGTTGCTGTTATAATTCGCACAGGATTTTGACATTAATTTTCCTCCCACAAAGAGGAGTTAAAAGTAAAGAACAATGCTTCATAAATATTTGTGGTAATAGAGATTTCTTGCAAAACCAAGTGCTTACTTTATTTAATTAATACCTCTACAACTCTGGTAGCTATCATGGATATTGTCACAAATAAGAATTGCTCCCTGAAGTCGTCATAAAAATTATGAAAAATAACATTGAGATTCCAAAAAGCAAATTTAAAGAAACAAGACACAAAAATTGATTAACACACAATGTTTTTCTATAATTAAAATACTTAAAATTAATGCAAACAATTTCAAAGAACAAAATTAATTGTAGTATTTTTTGAAGCAATGTTAATGGGTAGAAATACAACTGAGAAAGCCTAGAATAGAAAATGAGATAGGAAGGAAAATATGGAAGTTGCGTTAGGCAGAAGATATTGTATTGTTGGCAAGGGTTGAGAGTGATCAATGAAAGAGAATGGTGAGAGTTTCATGAGAACTAAAAATTTGGAAGTGAATGTTGAGAAGACAAAAATAATGGTGTTTAGTAGAGGTGGAGGAGGAAGAGGGTAGAAGGAAGAGAGGAAGAAAATTAATAGAAACTGGAAATAAAATTATAGAAGTGAGAAATTATGACTATCTGGGATTTTGGTTTAGCAAGAATAATGGTGTGACAGAGCATGTGAGGGAGTGAGTAAGCAAAACAAAATTTGTAATTCAATTCGTAAAGAGGAAATTCAAGAAGTATTAGACTGTGAGAGAGGAACTGTAGAGATGGACAGAGTTTGAAGAGGAGGAAAAATTGCAAGAAAAATATGGAACAAGGTTGCAGGAAATAGTCCAAAATATTCCCAGGTAAAAAGTAAGAGAAAAACAGAAAATGGAAAAGCGATGTATGAAGAGAAAGGCTGAGAAAAGCTCACTTTTTCCTTTTCTCAGTTTCCAAGTACTCTACAACCTAATACATCTTTCAAAAAACCTTCATGGAATTTCATCATTATTACTTATTGTACTGAAGTGTGTGTAAATCAGTAACAACATTTTTACATATCTATTAATATACCGAAATATTTTCTAAATTAAATGCCATTTTCATTTACATTTCAATGATTTGAAATCAGTTTCTGGATCATTGATACTCATCACAAGTTAATTTTGTACATTTTTCTTTGACACAAAAAGAAAATGATCCTTGTTTGTAACTAGACAGTCCAGTATTGCTGCTCCATCATATGCAATTGTACTCTTAAAATCTATTTCAGAATTTATATTTCAAAGTTAATCAAGATACTTGTTTTCACAGAAACTTTAATGTAAAAACAAAACAAAACCAACAATCTTGAAATTGAAAGAAATCAAAAAATTTGTTTGACATTAAACGAATTAGCATTTATTGCAATGACTTACACAGTTATAGAAAGAGAAATATATTAATTCATGCTGAACATGAATAAATTAAATGAATCACCATGAATACTGGGGGTTCAATCACTGTATTGTTTGAAGTTAAAAGGATCTCCTCATTGATAATTTAATATTTTTTTGTACAACAAAATTCTCTCTCACTTTTCAGGATGCAACCAATAAAAAGATTATGTGACTAGCACCTCAAAAGATTAATTACAGAAACGTATTAGTATTAACACAGCACTCGTCTCCGATCTGACTCCTAAAAACACTATTATCCGCATCCATCGACACAATTTTCCAAAAAGCATGTATTGTTTCAAAGTTGAAAACTCACATTTCTGATAACTACAATACGTGATCACTTTAATGATAAAAGCATAAGTCTTATGACTTTCAGTCTTGGAGGAAATTCCTCAAGTTTATCATTTTACAAAGAAGCTGTACAGACTACACAGATACTGCGAGTTCTTGCACCTTTCAATCCACAAAAATTTCACACACTTTCTTCTACTCCTCATTTTTCAACAAAACTAGAAACCTAACACAATTAATGTAACAGAATTTCATTCTTCAAATTAAAGAGGAATAAAATAGGAAAGAAACACTTTCACATGTATCTTACAAAGAGAATACTTGCATTTTTGCAAATATACAAACATTGTCAATCAAATACTTAAGACTGAAGGTGCTGGCATTCAAATTGGCTCTAATGAGCTTCTGGTGCTGCTGCTTCTGCTTCGTCTTCTTAGAATTGAGAGTGATGTACCTCAATATCATAAGACAATGGTATTTGTCAGGCAACAAGTAGCAAATAGGCACCTCTTGTTCCATATTGTGGCAGTGACCATTGCCTGAGGGATACCTTAGCAAAACAAGAAATACATAAGCTCTATCTTATTCAGTTACAAACAATAGAAGACAAATGTAATTAACTGAACATTCATTTCTATTTTTCCACCCAAGAATTCAATTCAAACTTAAATAAAGAATGAAACAACCTTTAATACTTTAAAAGTTTGTGGGCATCATAGTAAAATATCGAACTAGCAATCTTCATAAAATAATTTGTTTGGTACATTTCAAAAAAATGGAAACAATATTTAATGAAAGTGAGAATAAAGTACACTTACTTCTCAAAACCTTATTTGCAACAGCACACAGGCAAACCTCAAATGCCCATTCTTAGGGAGCCTGGTTATTTTTGGGAGAAGTTGGTGCAGAAGCGTTGCCACTGCTCCCACTGCCTCCACCCCCTCCTCCACCACTACCACTGCCAGATTGTGCACGACGAATGTACAAGTTCAACAATTTCAACTTTGAACCTGATAAGGCAGCCAAATGGGGCTGCAGGGCTGCTTCCCCTAGCGCATTGTGAAGTGCCACCATGCAGAACACAGCTGATTTTCGCACAGAGCTCTCTTCGTTGTTATACGCCTGAAAATAAACAAGTAAATGTTTCCATTAGGTGAACTTACATGAAGACTACAGCCAGTTCAAGTGATACAGGGGATAGCAAAAAATGTTACTAAACCAGAGATCTTTGTTTAAAACTGTCTGGGGGCAGATTCTTAGACATACTGATTTTTCTTCTTGGAGACTGACTGTATTTGCAACAGAGAGAAAATGTTCGTAATGTCATATTATTGTTATGTACAAGAACTCCAAAAGTTGCTCAGAGAAATTCAATTACACTGATAATATCCTTTCCTGACATGTTTTACCAACTAGACAGGTCCTACATTACTCGCCGAGATTGACACCTAGTTTGGATAAGGGAAGTCAAATTCTGTGTGCAATAAGAGATACCAATGAGGGATGATAATCAAGATATTAAAAAAAATAAAAATTAATGGATGCAGTTATACTGTGCCTGTAAAATATGTATTTATATGTAAATCCATTCTGTTAATATACAACTAAACTCTTATCCCCGAATATAAGAGAAAATTAAAAGAATGTTAAGTCATAGCAACAATTATAATTATTAACTCAGTTTTACAATGTCTGAGACAACAAATTTCAAATATAATCATAATAAAAATAACAACAATAATAATAATATAATTAGGATTAATATAAAAAGAATTATAAACCTTTATTACAGTAAAAATTGGGAAAGTAATACCTGAATAATTGTTAAGTTCTGACAGTTTGTAAGACTAAATATAAAGTCCCAACATTTTTATACAAAAAAACCTTAATAAGAATGCAAAACCTGTTTAACTGGGACTGATTTCCCATCCATCTTTTTCTCTACAAGTACTCACCGACGACATGACATTCTAAAGTTTCTGTGAAAGATAGCATTTTCCCAAATATTTCGATGTTTCTACACGTTCTTCAATTCTCGTTAATTTGTACTAACAGAAAATTCTATTGAAGACGAGTAAGCAGAATGAACATAAAGAACATTCAATCTGTACACGTGAAGCAAATGTGAAAGCCAAAGTTACACTACATGCCAGTGAGTAAAAAATTAAATTACTGCATTATTATATATTAATGGAAAGACACAAGATGAAACACACACTTTTGCATGTTTAAGATATTAATGTTGAAAAAAAATATATAAAATTATACATGCAGTTTACTGTATATACATTCAGCAATAAAATGTAATACATAACATATTATTTATAAAGTTTCTGGTAAAATTATTTCGTTTTTGTTAAAAATTCGTTTTTGTAATTCAAAGACGAGTCATTTGAACTTATGTAAGTGAATTTCTCTGTAATTGAGACAAACACTTTTCAAACTTGTTTATGTGAACTACTGGATATAAGAGACCTTTTCAAGCCAGAATAAAATTTCTCCCCCTTGAAATCACACTTAGCCAGGTTCAACTGTATAAATATTAACCTTAAAATTCTTACTATGTGTGATGGTAACATCTGATATCCCAACTGAGTTAGCTCAGAGTCAGCATCACTGCTGTCTCAGCAATGGTTCTGACTGGGAGGCCCAATGGTTCAAGACTTATGGTGGATTTTCAACACTAGCATACAGTTATGTTAAACTGAGCTGGTGAATGAAGGAGCATTCTAATGATTTCTTCAATCAATACCAGGCAAATGTCGGAGTGCCCTAACAAATGGTCCACAGATCACACACAATCCTTCTTCCATTCTTGTCATATTCTCTTCCATTCCGCAGACACACTTACACGCACAACACAACCAAACATGCTGGGAGCTTAGAACTTTTCTCAGATGGAATAGTGTCAATATGAGGAAATACCTTGTCCTTTGTGGCATTACATCACCTGTGCAATTTTTCATAAACCTGTTCATATAAGGTTCCCCACTTTTTGCAGTTTAAAACAAACACCAAACAAATATAACAAACTAATTTTGTCAATATTGCAAATCATTAAATGCATCTGTTCATAAATATATTAAGAAATGAAATAAAAAATACTCTGGGACTAAAATACTTTAGATATAACATCGAAATGACACTAATATTGTTAGGGCCACTTTGATAATGCCTTGCGATGTAATTCTACTCTCATTATCATCGTGAACATACAACGCCTGTGAACTTGTTCCTTTTCTATACCCAGTATTCCTTTACATATGCTCTTGCCTGTCCAGGTCATGCCATGTCAAAGGTTATGGTGCCAGCCCTGAGGACAACCATGACAAGATGGTCGAAATGTCCACACCATAGTCTTCAACGTGGCATTACCTAGACAGTCAAGATAACTTGCACAACTCTTGCTATGGAAGCCTATGACTTCAGCATTCCCATAGTTACTTCCAAGGTGTTCCTGGCTTTCCCAATATATTATTGGTCTGCCCATAGTGGGTATAGTGTGCATTCATATTGTAGTCATACATTTGTTGTGATTTCTTCCGAGATGTTTCCATCCATATTTTTCTATTTCGTCTTTGAGGCATTGCAGTTTTCTGTTGACTCTGTTAAACACTTTCTCATAGTCTATAAACAGAGTGTAGGTTGGTGGGTTTTGTTCTCTTCATTTTTTCTAATCTAGCATAAAGTTTGCATTGATACTTCCTCTCCCTCATCTGAAACCATGTTGCTCCTCTTCTATTATGACTTCTCGAAATTTCTTTGGTCAATTTCTTTCAGGATTCTTATATGCAGCTGCTTGCATTGTATTACCTCTGTAATTCTCAGTTGCTTTTTGGCCCTCTTTTAGATATCTTCGTTACCAATCCTGTTTTCCATTGTTGAACTTGTCAGTTTCCATTATATTTCATTCACTGTTTCAGTATTTCTTCCTCTAATTGTCTTCCTTTGTATTTTAACAGTCCCACATTGATATTATCTAGGACTGGACATTCCTAATTTCTTGCCACTTTTAATAACCTATGTAGCTCATTTCTATTTTTGTTGGTACGGTATTAAGTATCCTCTTCTTTGTTTAGTTCTGTCTCTCTCTCTCTCTCTGTCTCTCTCTCTCTCTCTCTCTCTCTCTCGTGTGTGTGTGTGTGTATGTATGTATATATATATATATATCAAAGCATAATAATCTTACCTTGATTAATGCTGGCATCACAGCATCCAAATGTGGTTCCAAAAGATCTTTGGGACGTGCTTCAACCACTTTCATCAACATTTTGATTGCACCCAAGTTTACAGGAAAATCTCCAGTTGTAATGAGAGGGTTTAGCACTCTGATAACAGTGTCTGGAGGTAAAACGGCTCCCACTGATGCACTGCATAATTCAGCCATTCGAGGCACCTAAATTCATACCAAAATAAAAAAGTAAGTAAAAGAATAATAAGAGAAATTTGTAATGTTTCGCTCCCTTCCAACCTATTCCCACTTCAGATCCTAACCTTTACAATCCTTGTATACAATGGTGTCCCAGGGATTTCTGACCTTAATTTAACAACTTACTTTCACACACATATTGCTTAACAACGCCTTGCACATATGTAAATGCAACAAAACAATACCACAAGGGACCAAGCAGTGAGCTACATGGCACTTCATTTATTTATTTTTTCTGTCAGAGTCTCAAAATACTAGTACAGAAATCAGGTATATATTGACAAATTTGACCTAGGTTAAGATCCTCGAGCAGCCTTAACTCAATTACAGGCTATTAACTTCATAAAACTAGCAGGAATGCACAAAGATAAGCAGCTCTTGGGTGTGAATGTATTAGCAGAAAAGAAGTATTAAGGTTTAACTACTGAAATTAACAATGAAATATACAGAATGCCTTTACGCATTGTGTTCCAGCATCCTATACAAAGGACAGTGCGTTAATTAATTTTCATACCCAACAAGATAATTAAACAAACAACACAAAAAAAACATATCCCTCCGAGTAACACCATCTCGCTGGAAAGTAAAATACCATGGGGGTCCTTTTGAGACCCTATTTCCAATTTCCCTAATAGGTCCATAGTGATACATGTCTATAAGAATTAGTCATCATTATTAGTGCATATGCAAAATTAAGGACATTGTTTTATTTTAATACAGTAAAAAAGTTTTATCCATGAACAATTAAATAAATAAAATGGCATGACACACCGTTCTCAGATGCTCAATGATTTGGCATTAAAACAAAGATTGAAGATGAGAAATTTTATGGCAGATTTTGGGTGGAATCTACTTCTTTCTCCATGAATAATTTGTGCACCCCACAAACAAAATGAAAAGCAAGAAAAAAACAACAACTGTTTAGAGATGTTTGTTATATTGAAAAGCTGCAGAAATTCTGCAGAGCTTTTGCATTCAAATGTTGTCAGAACTGTATGTGGAGAAAGAAGTGATTGACCACTTAACTACCAATAGTAGCAGACATTCGATGAGGAGCAGCAGTTTGGGGAGCACTTCAAGAGAACAATTAAAATAAAATGTATGATACATAACTGACTTATAATTTTATGAACAAAGTAATTTCAAATAAAAGTTATACTTGTATTATGTGTCTGATAATAGATTTATTTTAATTTTATAAATATGCTCGAGAGTTGCAGCAACTGAACATTTAAATCTTTTGGTAATAAATTCTTCATTATGTTCAAGAATACAGAAAATTTATTTTCATTGAGTGTTCTGAGAAAACTTTCTATTTTAAAATTAATCCCTATACTGCTAGTTTCTTACATGTATTAAATCTGAATTTACTAGTTTTTCTACAAAAAAAATATAAAAACTTGTCCCTTTTTATTGGCTGTCAGAAGTCATTCCTCTCTGTAACATTAATAATCTCTGAGAAAGCACAATAACAGAAATTACTTTAAAGAAAAATATAAAAATTGAGTGATGCAATAACATAATCTCCTCCATGAATAATTTATGCACAGAATAAGACTTGTGAACCTGCCTCACATACTCTCTATTATTTACACACATTTCCAATTAGTTGTATGTTAACAAAAATGAAAAACAATTTTTTTGTGAGCACAAAAAATTCAACTTGATAAGGAGTTTCTTTGAGCAATTTAACTTTTAATAAAGCAGATAAGTGGGAATAAATCAAATGATAATTAATTCACAAGGACTAGTGAAGCTACAATTTAGTGGCCATTATTGGTGAAAATTTAGTCCATCCTTATTCCGACCTTATGCTGGAAGTAACTCTTCCCGGAATAAACATGTCATAATAAAGTTGCACCAAGCTTTTATTAGTACGGCTGACAAAAAATTAATAACATAAACATGGCAATTCTAGAACAACTGGAACTGAAATGACATGAGCTATCTTGTGTTAATCAATTAACCCTCTGGGTTATAAACAATGTTACATATAGAACTGTATGGGAAACACTAAGGTCAGATCCTTAAAAGACAATAAGAAAAAAAGAAAGGTGAAAAGCACGAGAAAAAAGGGAAGAAGCTAGCTGTACCCTTATGATGGAAGGCAGGAGCTCAAAAAGCTTGAAGAGACCACTACATTAGATAAAGACAATAAAACCAATACACAAAAAGAAACATGTAATGTAATGTTTTTCATTGTTTCAAATAAGGAATGTTACAAGTCATTGGCAAGACAATAAACGCATACAACAGCTACAATTTTTTGTATTTTGTGATCATAATTTTAAGTATTTCTAGAATACTCACATCCTTGCTGTACTCTTTGTATGCTTCCAATACTTTCAGCACCAAGAGCTCAACATATTTATTGAATCCTGGAGCTACTTCCCGGCGCAGCAACAATTCTGAGAGAACACCCAATACAGCACCACGTTGGGGTTCATCTGGACGACCCAGCAACTCCAGGAGTACTCGCAGTAAAACTCTGTTGAAGTATCATTTTTGAAAGTGAAACAAAAATACAAGGTAATAATGCTTGAAAATTAATTTAGAACTGACTCACTTGAAGTGCTCTGTTAGAGCAGCAGCATTTGCTTCTTTAGCTAGTGTCTGAAGAGTATAAAATGCATCCCGACGTGCCGTGCTTGCAGTTAAAGGCACCTCTGTTCCATTGGGCGAGTCTTGAGGCCGCACAATTTCCAACGCTTTCCTTAGGGCCTCACTATCTTCTTGCGACTCTGGAAAAGAACAATATTTTAATTTAGTTGACCTCATAACTCTTATCTATTTATTCTCTTACATTAATCAGGAGCTACTTCTTTCCATTCACAAACTATTGAAGGTAAATCTTTTCCCTTTTGCAGATAATATAATAACTTCATAACAAATATGTCTTTAACAGCTTTAATGATACTACCTGGACCCATGTGAACATTTCTTACTATGTACACCACTGTTTTAAAAATGAAAATAGCTTCGTATTGAAAGTGAACTTTGAACAGTCAAGTTTGAAGTGGGTGACATCAGTGGCAAGGTACTGTGCAAAGGTAAACATTCTCGTTATATTACTAAGTGTTTATTAACAAACAGAAAGGGTTTCACCTTACTGTTTAAAAAGCGCATAATTTTAATTTTAATGACCTTTGTGTTTAAATGCAGAATAATTTTGAGTTCCTGTCCTACAGAAGATGTACCCAGAAGAACTAAAACTCAAAAAATGTTTTAGAACATCTAAAAAAAGTCTTTTTGAGACAATGAAGAGGCAGACCTACCAGTACTTGATAACAGGTGCATACCAATGGAGGGGAGGCTGTCAACAACGGACTCAGTAGTTTTGGTTATCTTTGTTTAAGTAATTACCTTCAATTATTTTGCAATTTATTATGGGGTTCGCCACAAAGTTCCTCTCTTTGGTATATTTTGGGTATCAGAATGGTTTTGGTATGCAACTATACCAACACACCCACAAAAAAAGTCATTGAATCATTTAGAACTTTTATTATTGGAACCTTTCTTCAGCCTGAAAGTTTTGTCTTTCAATGATTACTAAATAGACGATTACAAAACAATTTGAAAATGTCACCATGAGTAATTGCTTTGTGGAACCTCCAGTATTATCATATAGCTAGGCCTGCTCACATTAAAATCTGATTTTTGTATCTGTCAATGTAGAGAACAGTTATACTTTTGGAACAAATTGCAATAAACATCGGAAGAAAGACAATATGGCAAGCTGTATCCTGAAGGAAAGCATTGCAAGTACACAAAATGTTCGATACATGTATGCCCTTGCCACATATCGCTAACTACACGTGTTAGCTAACTACGCTAGTGTTACTTTTAAATATATACAATCTTTCCTTCAATTATTTTGCAAATTATTATGTGTTAGTCATTGTTTCATTTGCCCCCCCCCCCCTCCAAAAAAAAAAGAAAAGATTTGGGCAGTTATCGAGAAAAAAGTCTTAAAGGACTTCCAAAAATTAAAAGATCAATTTTACATTGAGGGGTTGCAACATCAACCAGATTGGGAAATATCTGAGTGAAATACACTTGTCTCTCAAGGACTGATAAAACCTTTTCTTTTCTGTCAAAAAATCAGCACTTTTTCTTACAGCTTTACAACATTTTAGTATTGCAACATTATAAACAAGCTTTTTTTTTACAATAAATTGTTCATGAAATGTCATCTAATGGATTGATTATGACATACTTGACATTTACAGCACAAATATTTGTGTCATCAAACATTCAGCCAATTGCAGCAAGAGAATCGTGGAGAGGTAGTGGTAAATTAAACAGACGATCACAGTCTTTTCACACGGATGTCAAATACTTATTACGTTACAAAGTTGTTTCAAAAAGCTAACTGTGGTTTTATTATAAATTTGTAATGCTGTTATACAAAAACAATGTATGCAATTCATTTATAATGTTGCTTTATTGCCTATGTAAAAATTTGAAAACTCGCTCCTGATGTCGTTGGTTTTCAAATTGTGAACTGCAATAAAGCTAAATGTTATAAACTAGTTGCATAATATACTATTCTCTATATGAAGTATATATTCAAAAGAGTATCATAACATTGAGGTACATGAAAATATTCAATATTCTCCCTATGATCAATGATGAAATAACAAAACTAATGTTCTAACCTCTTGAAAGAAATCCATTTTCTGTATGGCCAAGAGAAGAGTCAGCATCGATACCATTATAATCTTTGAGTGAGTTGAGGCGATGTGTTGGTGATGATAAAGATGAAGAACGCCCCTGCAATTCCAAAAATTAAGTGAATATTTTACAGTTTTAAGAGTAGGTGTTCAGAACTAGCAACAACAATCATAATAAAAATAGACACAGTGAAATTGTAACACATACTTATTTGGAACATTTATTACCCAAGAAAATGAGGAGAGCATTATCATCTCTCACACTAAAAAAATAAATATTTAAGAAGTATCAGAAACACAACAGCACATTTACTAAATAAGTTGGCAAACTGGAGACAAATGATTAAAGACGTGCAAAGCGCTTTAAAGCTAGTAAAGCTAAACTTTCTTCAACATATAAAAAATTAAACAAGCTGTTTTACAGGGAAAACTCGCATGTCTATGGACACCTTAATGCAATGTTCTGAACTTATTTTTCAATATTTTTCTTCTATTTGGTCTTGGAAATTATGTTAATATAGAAAATACTACATTCATTTTCATGATTTTCTATCAATCCACCCACTAACTCAATCAAAACTTTGGACTCAATGTATCAATTATAACAATCATCTCCAAAACCTGAAGATATAAGCAAGGCATTTTTGTTTTTTTGTGGGAGTGATTTCTATGAATACTGCAATGCAGTCTCGACATGACCTTAAAGAGTGTTCTCTGCAGGAAAAACCATGGGGGGACCAATACACTGAATTTACAGTCTTTCAGTAAGACAAAGTTTATCAAATGTGTAATATTCAGTAAAACTTTACTTATACGTTTTTCAGGGGACTGAAAGGAAAAAATGTATAAGCGAGAAAAACGTGTAACTGAAATTGAATATTAAGAGCAAAACAAAACTCAGTATTTTTTACATTGGCACATTCCATTGTAGGACCAACTCGCATAAATCAACGTTGCTTTTGATTTACTTTGTCAAACAACAGTAAAAACTGTGTGACGAATGGGGGAGAAATACCATCTTCACATTTTTTTGAACTTCAGAATCTCTTCCCATTTTAACAATAAATAGTTGAATAACTAATAAAAATTTCAAAAAAAAAGTGAATTTAGCAACTTTTGAAAACTAGATACATTTGCTATGAACGTGTAAGTGTGAAAAACATATAAATGTAAAACACATATCTGAAATAATTTACCATGAAAGGAATAGTAATTTATCTGGAACTTACAATCAACACCAACGTATAAGAGCAAAACATATAAACAGAGTTTCTGTGTATTTATATAGTGATATCATGAATTGTTATACAGAATTAACTCATTTTAACAAAATTCAAGGAACAGTAAACTTTCTTTTAAGGAAGAGCATCAATGCCAGAAGAACATTCAAGGACAGTACGAGGGAAAGAGAAAATTAGTTGTACTACAAAAGCACACATTCAGAAATAAAATTTTTTGCGAGGATTTCATACTTTCCGTAAGGCTGGTATAACAGGTTGATAAGGGTTCAGCAGTCAGGCGGGCATATCACAATACTATACTTTTCTACTTGCTAAATTACTGAATTTATTATCCTTGGGCATTTCAAAATCATTTAACATTTTGGTTACAGCTAACCTTCCCTGCTCTAAACTAATTCCACTTTTTATACCCTAAGAAACCCTAGCTTCCACTCTATAACTTTACTGTGACTCATTGTGTCTGCTGTGAGTGAAGTACATGGTTCATAAGTCCATGGTGGTGAATGGTGGTGCTTGAACTCTATTGCAAGTAGAGAAGTTTGGTGGTGGCTATAAGGTGCTCATACTTCTCTCCCTGACAAGCAGATAGTCACCACTCACCATCCAGGCAGGGGGAGGTTTGAGAAGAAAATGAATATTGATGGTGATAAATTGTGGTTCGGATAGGTCCCACCATGCCAGAACATGAAAGTAATGATCCATGACCAAGGTGGGATTTGAGTCTACAGACTCAGCAAATGTACACTCTGCCACAAAATTTTCTAAAATCTATTTTGCAGAAGTTAAATATTAAGGTAAACAAAAAAACTTGCAGGACCCATTTATGCTTACCGAATTATTTCTTGTCAGACTTAGAGCTTCAAAATGCTCTTCCAGAGCATCAAGCTTGTCACCTGCCCCAGCTGACATTTGACTGATGCCAGAGTCTTGTGATGTCGTATCCCGGTCTCGATCTGGCAGTTTTCCACCAAGTGCAGTTGGTGCATTACCCATATTACCTGTTCCTGGAGCTGCATCACCAAAAGGGTAACTCTGAATTTCAGCGGTTGTTCTTCGCAGAGACCTGTTAATTCCAAAAACAATAAAATTTAAGTAAGAAATTAAAAATCTATATAACAAAGAAAAACATCCAACTCAGTGACTTACTTTTACAAAAACAGTATCAACCCTTCAAATTTGTATGAACAGAATGTGTAACACCGTGTACTGCTTTTACCCACTTCCTCATATTTGGTCCTATCTCCAGGTCGATAGTAGATTAAAAAACAATAGATGATTTTTTTTATTAATTTAATTTGGTTTCTAGTCATTCACAGTGTGCTGAAAATGGCCCTTACAAGAAATCAGGAGCTACTTTCACCAACTAGCAGAGAAATAAGCAATCACTCAGGCGACCAAATGCAATTTGAATTTACTTCGAAGGCTTCTTTTAAGCTTGAGGATGTTTTACATGCAGTAACCCCACATGCCGGCTTTACTTCCCCTCCGAAGGAAGGCGTACGGAGGATTTTTTTGTCCTTACAAATTCACGACTTTGATCAGGTTCCTCTCAAACTTCAGCACAACAGCCTTAGGAGCTAACTGTTATGTGTGTTAACCCTACCGTCAGACAGGCCTTTGCCTATAATTATTGCATATTATATGGTAAGGGCACCGGTGTCTTTTATTGTAAAAGCTCACATAATAAACTTTTTGTTGTGCTGTTATTTCCCGTCTATGGTATGCTAAGGCTAAGGCCACTGTGCGGGCTGACAACGCCGTAGGGCGCAGGGGGACACCCGGCGGTGCCTCCACCGCTCCGCTCCCACCTGATAACAAGAGGGGGATCCAGCACCTACGAGAGGGACGAAGAATTAACGAAGCGATTGGAGAGTGCAACGGCGTGGAAAGGTGACCTCCCGGAGGGGCACTGCGACGTTTTCTTCACATCCTTAATGGTACCTTCAACTTAATATTTAAGATTGCGCATTGCATCGTCCAAGTTTCGATAGGTTCTTTGCTTGGATGATTCAATTTAAGATTGAAAACAATCTTCATACATCTTTTGTGTTTTGCATCTTTACTGCCAATGCCCTTCAAATTCAATAGAGATATTGGCAGTTGCATCTTATCAAGAAACAGTGTTTGGATCTGCTGGTAAATTATGCAAGAGTATGGTTCTTGAAAGAAATACAAGTAATTTGGCTATATATTAAGTTTTCCAAATAACTAATGTAGTCGTTATGAACTTTGTAGCTATTATGAACTTGATTATATTCTCTTTTCTCTTGGTGAAGTGACAATAAAGGGCAATCTTCCTAATAAAAATTACACTATAGAGAAAAGTAAACAAGCAAACAGGAGTATCTTTGTGTTGGAGTTACCAGATAGTACCTGACAGTTGATGTAGTTTTAAAATGCTTCTAAATAGATTACCTGTATACTTCTTCAGGGTTGAGATCTTCCTCTTCAGCACCAATGGCTCGTGATGCCAGTGCAGTCTGCCGTGGAGTCTGAGGCGTGCCTGGGGAACTCAGAGCTCCAGAAGGAGAGGCCCTACCAGGAGATGGTGGGGACCCTCCTGTGCCCCCACCTCCACCACCTGAACTACGCCGAAGGTGCGATTGCAGTAACGGTGATGCAATTTCCTACAAACATTACAAAAAGAAGCAACTTAAAACTATCATCATCATCATCATCATCATCATCATCGTTATTCTTAGAGCCACTGAGCACAGAAAAATAATAAACGGACAAATGTTATCTGTCCTTATGATCAAATTGAGCCATTTTGTTATCTAATTATTACTTAGCAACACTGAATTTCACTACCAACCTGCATTTTACAAAGGACTACAGGTAATAATGAAACCATTTGAAAGAAATTGAAGACAATGAATTACTGTCCTCGCATTCCTTACAAATATTTGTATTAAGTACATTAGCAAACACTTACAATACAATACATGTGTTTTTTTTTGGAAAACTTTTCAGTAATGTTATAATTAACAGCACATTCAATGATTTCAGGGAGAAAGGGAACCTTTTATGAAAGTCAATTACAGTATGGCCCTTCTTTAGTAAATACATTTTTATGTTTGCCCTTGATACGTATTTTAAATCAATAACTGTATCCATTTTTATTTCTCCTCTAATTAATTGAAGATCTCAACATATAGATAGATTGCAAGTTTTTCCACTAACGTTTCTAATAAAAAAAATTGCTTGGCATACAATTCTAATTAAGTATCAGTTAGCTTTGCCTAATAAAAAGGTTACAATACATATGTTACTTTCACTCTTCAAATTCTGAAGGTTCAACACAAACTTTGCTCCACTGTGGTCCATGTGAACACAATGGGAATTGATATAATTGAATCTATTCAAGCCCTGGGCCAAGTACATTTCCAAGGCTTGTAAACCCATGTATGATGTAGAATTTCTATCAACAATATTCTAGATAAAAAAACTATCTTTTATTAATCAATTTATCTCGAGTTTTATTTATCAATGAAGACAGACCCACAGCTTGCTGAGCTGATTTTCATCGCTCCCTGGACTTTCCAGGAGATCATATGTAAAAAGAAGTGTGATGGTGCCAATTTTGGAACACAGGGTAGGAAAATGATTCAATGATTTTTTTTTTTTTTTTAAAGAAAACTTTTATATAGACTATCAAGGTACCCAGAAAAAGAAAATAAATATTCCTAACCACTATGCAGAAACACTATAAAAATGCACTAATCTTAATGCTTCACTCCATAAAATGAAACAACTTTTCAAAAGTATTGCAGACTTCACTAAAACTACAAATACTATATAAATGTTATCTTTTCAAAAGAAACCGCAGGCACTAAAAACAAACACTTTTCACGTACTTGAAATTCCTGAGGAAGCTCTGCAAGCATCATTGCAACTTGCGGGGCAGCCAAATCAAACATTGCCACCAAGGCTCCTCTGGCTGCTCGGCGCACCTCTCCTGGCTGCTTGCTATCGGCTGCAAGGGACACTATTTTTGCCAGAGCAGCTGGAGCTGGTGGTCGAGTGGGCATTGCCGCAGGATCACCACACGCAGCACACAAGGCAGTAAGATGAGTGAGAGTTGCTGTGCGTACGCGAGCATTAGGTGTCTGAGTGGCATCAGTAAGGAAGCGAAGCACACAAGCCAGTTGCAAATCTGGAGGAAATGCTTCTCTGCAAAAATAATAATTTTGTCATCAGATTGCACCTTTACTTCAGAAAAGCTAAACAACAATAAAAGAAAAGGAAAGAGAAGGAGGGACAAGAGAGGATTGGAGAATCAAGAATTTCTTGGAACTGTTAAACAATGATGGTTTGACAAAAAGCCCAAAAGGCTAGTAGATCTGGAGGAGGTGGTGAAAGAAATAACCTGCATATCATTTAATCCTTCAGAGACACTCATGTGAAAAAACAAGGTGTGGGGACATAATACAAACTGAAAAGCAAAATTAAAAATAAATTTTCCAAAAGCTACAACAGATATACACACAAATATTAAAAATAGAAATTGTTCTGTATTTTTTACCTAACGTGGGCAAGCAAGCGTTGGATTTTTGTGTGGATGGAGTTAAGAAGGTCTGTCCCAAGTTTATTGAGAAGTCTTGTAAGCAACACGTATAACCAGTCATTGAGGTCTGCACGGTGAGCTTGAAGCAATTCCCACAAAGTATCCAAAAACAGACTAAATACCTGCACAAAATTAAACACAAATACATTCTGGGTCACAATCACATAGTACAAGAATAACACACACATCAGAATGTTAATTCCTCACACAAGGAAGTTTGTGTTGAATAGCACCAATGCACTTTCTTTTAAATAATAATACTCTTTGCAGAAATGACAACAAATAAACAGATTATGTCATATTTTTGGGGTAAAAAGATCACCAAGTTGATATACTGCAAATATTTTCCTAATTTAAAGAGAATCTTAAAATGTTAGCAGAATAAGAGAAGGAGAGGGCATAAAGAAATAAAGAAAAGTACTGAAGAGCTCTTAAAACATTAATAACACATTGACTTGATGAATAAATACAATGCAGTAGCTTCAAATTTTGTCAGAAGTTACATTCAGTTCAGATAATTCACAACAAAGATCACCCCAAAGAAAATAACATAATAAAGAATTTGAACAAAAACCCTGAACCATTCTTAGAAAATACAATTTCATCAATAAAAACTTGCACTTCATACAAATGATACTGGTCATACTCCAGTATTTCTTTGATCACAATGTTGGCACCTTAAGCATATCATATTTTAACTTGGTGAAGATGGCAGTAAAACATCATAGTTACAAAAGTACCTGCTTATTGATTTCACAAAGAACAATTTTAAAAAATTGTTATAAGTTATTTTTTAAACTTCAAAAGAAAAACAATCTATTGAAGAAACAATTACCTTTGTGTGAGAATCCATAAACATCTTGGTAAATATTTCTGTGACCAGTTGCAATTCATTAGGCCTCAAAAGTTGGCCAGTTTGTAAAAACACCAGAAGACCAACCAGACCTTCTTTGCGATCACCCCAATGAGTGCTTGCACAATTTGCAATGATTTCAGATATATCCTGAAAAATTAAAATAATGAATCATGCTGCAAAACTTTTAAAATTTCATATTAATACCCATTATACTTTAAAATTATCATTACATGTGATTGTTCTACAGTGAAGAACCTTAATCACATATTTTATTGTGAGGGAAATAATATAAAAAATGCACATAGTTGTAAAAATAAATATCACAAACAGATTTAGGACTCACAATTTGCTCAAATGCCTAATCCCTTCTTAACACTAGGAACTTACCAATTTGAGTTGAAACTGCAAGACAAATATATGATCACATTAATACAATACATAAGTGGTTAATTATATTTTTTCCTATGATTTGGAATACAAGGTCAAAACGAATAATAAGGCTGCATCTCTAAAATTATACCAACATTCTAAGACAAAGTTACTCTTAATTCAAACAAGGTTTGAAATTCAAAGGTTAATTCAAACTAAGTAGTGTATTACTGATATTACAATATATTCTATATAAGTATTCATTGACACAAATTTTGCTTTTTATGATAATTACACAAGTTATAAATTGTCATGCAACTCTGCGAGTCTTTATCCATAGAATACTGGAAACCACTCTTTAAAAAAATTTCATACACAATGATAAAAGTAGCATGACTAGTAGTTTTATTAAATAATTTTACACCTTATAATTTAAAGTAGCATGTGCAAAATTCTTCAATTATAAGGTAAAAGGAAAATGATTTAGGCAAGTTCTATTTTGGCACAATATAAAAGTAAAAATTCAAGGCGTATTTTTTTCTTTTTTCTCCCCTATTATTCTGTATTTTCTCATTTTTCTGTTTCTTATACTTTGTACAGTGTCTTTTTAACTTCTATAACTGTCATGCACTTTATCTTGAGCCAAAATTTCAAAGAAAACATTTTCTCTAAATGTTCCAAGTTACTATATAACATGATTTCTTTCATATGGGTTCATACATGGTTCAATAAACTTAGAGTACCCTATTACTTAAAATTGCTGATACTAATTTCTTTCTGAAAAGCATGCATTCTTTTAACATAGCAGCCTACTAAAACAAATACAAGAAGCACTAATATCTAGACATCTTTGTCATGCAAAGCTACCTAACAAATTAAATTTACAATGCAAAAAACTACATTCAACACATTGTCAGTACTAAGAATACATAATCATTAACTACACCACAATACAAAATAATGGCATACCACTAATTACTACCAACCCTGAATCACAGAAGTCACTGCAGTTAAAACAGAATTTCTTGCAAAACAAATATTACTCTCTTCCCACATAGGAATGTTGTAATCACACATTTTTGTATTTCTTCACCTATGTAGTTAATCAATACATTATTGATAATCATACATATAACATTAAAATCAATGATGTACCTGCATATAGTAGTGATTTCTGGTTAAGAATGACCATTTTAACCTTCAACCATACTAGTAAATAGTACACACTTTCATGATGCTTTAAGATGTTTTTAAATGTGGTACTTCATATTTCTTCAATTTTTACGATTTTTTTTTCTTCTTCTTTCTTTTCTATTGACTCTTCAAATAGTTTGAAAAAGAACCACAGAGGGCGTCATCATTCCATAACTAATTAAACTTGCAACTACCTTAAGCCTTTCGTTCCATTTGGTTTTATTCTACTCTGAAGTTGGTTATATCCATTTACAGTATTTACTTACAATTGTTTATAATACATCATCATAATTTTACCATGTTCTCCGGGTTCATCGAAATCAAAATACTAAAAATTATTCTGTAGTTGCAAGTACATTATGTAGTGAATGAAATTTCACAATTATTATTTTAGTTTGGCTATTAGTAGTTGTATATCATCTTAAATAATGGATTGTGGGAATGCTGACGAGGTGTTGTTGACATTACTCAAGGATGAAATATTGGAAATACATATTTATAAACAAAACCAAGTAAAATAACTTCCAAATATTATATTATTTCAATAATAATTTAGATAATATTTCTATAATTTTTCCTATTTGGAAACTTTCTAAGGTGTAACACAAGCCACACATACTTTATCTCCACCTTATCAATTCTGACAAGTTAGTTTCTCGTAACAAAATTTATTCAACGAACTGCCACTCCTGAATGTTTCTTTTTCATTAGTTGTACTATTAGTTTTCAATACAGCATTCATCTTTCAGCAAAAAAATTAGAAAACGCAAATTACTTCTACAAGAGAAATGATTTCACACGCATGTGATCTCTTATTGCAACATGCAAAAGTCAACTGCAATCAACAAGTTTTCTGGCACCTTCAGTAAAATAAAAATAAAAATAATAATAATAATAATACTTATATCTTTCTCTTCAAGAGAAATATACATATAATATAAATACAGGAATTGGCAAAATAAAGTGTAGGAGGCATTCAATAAAAATTACAGGAGATATAAGTCATTTCCCCTGATGTAATATAAGAAATAGTATTTCATATTATGCAGAATAAAGAAAGGAGTGAATCAAATATTAATGTTCAAGGATGTTCTTCACGTACATTCTACAAATTGGGAATACTAGTTAATGCACAAGAACTGGATTACTAAGTTTTGTCAGAAGGATTTCATATGTTGAGTTTTGAGTCTTAATGGCTAGCCTTATTCAGCCAAATATTGAAGAAATTAATATTGAGCAAATGACGTAAATGAATACATTCAAAACTAAACAACAGAAACTAGCAATTACAATAGACATGACACATAAAGAACTAAAGATTATGCACATTACAAATATTGTAAAAATATCATTGAATATCAGGACGAAAGCCTGGCAAAAGCAAGTTTAGTAACAGCAGAAGGAGAGACCATCAGAAGGATAAGGAGCAGAGCAAAATGTCACCAAAGTACCTTGGCATTTGCAACAGTCGGTATAATACTGGCACACACCATGTACAAAAAGGAAACGTTGTTACAATTCAATTTTTACAGGTTAACTGAATAACAAAAAAATGGGTTCATCAAATATATTTTTTAAAGCATACTGAATAATATTAAATTTCTTCATATGAAAATATTTTTTAAGGTGCATTGATTATTCTTTCAAACTTACCCGCAATGATGCTTCCAAATTTTCTCTGTATAATCGCTGTTGAGAACCACTCCATGAAAAAGACTGCACATGGAGAGAGTGAGGGAACGAATGAGCGAATGAACACAGCACGCAAGCAGTTGAGCAGGAGGCGAGCAGGCACAGAAAACAAACACACACCCACAAAACTTATCAAGGCATGCTCTGACATTCTGTGCAATCAGCACAGCAACACATTTATTCCACTTCTCAAGCATGAGAAGACTGAAAAGGGTGAGATACTAATTTATATTTGCTGACTAGTCTTCTGATCAAGTATTTCAGTCATGCATAGCATTCAGGGGCTCCACACATCCTATGGTTTTTTTAAGCCCCTTAAATCCCTTAAACTGCACCTGACAGCTAAGAAAAACAACAACAACATAGGACGCAACAAAGCTTATATAAATAAATTGTTCATAAGAAATTCTGAGTAGTAAGCTCGACTTTATCAACTCAAAATAGAAAATTAATGTAACATGACAAAAACTTACAATTTTGAACAGATTAATTTCACTGGCAAAAAAGAGAGAGGTTGAAAAGTGAAAACATTTTATACCATTCATTAGTTTACATTTAAATATATTGAGTATGTACATAAACTTTTACTTCACACCTAGTATCCGCAAACTCTTGCTACATACTTTTTAATTAAAAATTTGTTTTTAATTATCCCTTTTAATGAATGTATTATAATATTTTGACTTGCTGACATGCAAAAAAATTATCTAGATCTCTAAAATGTAAGCAACAGTTACTATTATTTAATTAATTAAATAATTTAGTTTTCCAACAATTAAATCCTGATTCAACAGCAGCAATAATATACATTTACATACCAGCTATTATGTGGTATTATTATTATTAACTTGATTGGCCACATTGGACCACTTGAGTTGTTCCACTTCACTTTTTACTGTTCATGGCCGACTGTTGAAGGTGTCATCTTGAGGTGAGGATAAATCCTCGAGTTACAATTCTGAATGTTATTCAGAATAATTCAGATAATGAGAGATGGAGGATGATGGATGATAGGGGGTGAAAGGACGAACACAATACAACCATGCCCGAGGCGGGACTCGAACCCGCGATCTTTCGGTACGAGATCGCTACGGCACTACCGCCTTAGCGATCTCGGCCACCGGATCAGCATGCAGTATTAAATAAACACGAATATATTTAAACATTGGTGTGAGAAAATAGATTATTTTTTGATAAATTAAAAGTATTACAATATTACTGAATAAACATCTAAACAACTAGTTTTTAAACATGTAACCTAGTCCTCTCGATATCTATTTACAATCAAATGTTCCAAATACAAACAGATTTCAGGATATTTCCTTCTTTGTGCAACATATTGGGACTTGTGCATAGCTGGCATGAGGATTTTCCCACATTTTCTTGTAGGAGCAAAACAGATAATTTTGTATCTTTTTGTGAATTTTTAATTATAATGAATTGATGATAATTCATTATTTTGTAGACTGTCTAGTGGCTATGGATAGGTAGCTCACAAAGGTGGCTTAAAACATTCCAAATATTATTAATTAATTAATTAATTTGTTTCTTTGTCTATTTATTTATTTATTTTCTTTCTTTCTTTCTTTTATGATGGTGCTATAGCCCAGTTCATACCTTGCATTATTGAACCACATTTGATTAATGCACTACACAATTGGTTCTTTCAGGAAATAAGAATGTTACAACAGACAGACAACTTCGAATTATATTGTGCTTCAAGCATCATAGACAATGTTATTAAGTGATACTTTCTTATATAATAAAAATTAACAGATTGAGATATTTATCAGATTGAAAAAAGTAAATTGGCAGGTGCAATTGGTACCAGATATAATGCTATATATATATCCAGATACGTTGAAATAAAAACTGTAATTACATTAGAGAAAAATTAATATCTCAAATAATGCTACAGTTTTGTGTTTTCGGTCATACTAGGTCTTGCATACTAGATGAGTCACATGTGTGATTTATACATAACGCTATAAGAAATGCTGCTTTAATCCCCCCCAAATACACTGAACTGATTCACACAGTATTCACGCATTAAACAAATAAAAAATGAAAGTTTCATTAACGGACAAATAGGTGAACTACAACAGAGGATGTTGCCTATAAGTGTACATTCAGTTTTACAATAAAAGTAATACTTAAACAGAATTTCTTAATTTTCTCAACATCTTAAATTAACAACAAAACAAATGAGTCTTTTGCAGTCTTTGAGATGCTAAGATTCTCTAACAATTTTATTAGTTTATAGGAATTATATATAAATATTTTTGTATTAAGCAGAAAGCAAAGAGTATAAATCAGGAGAAAGAGTGATACCATACATAGACTGAAATTCTAGATTCAGAAGCACACATAGCTAAAAATTAATATCTAACAATCAAGGCAAAGCACATATGAGTAGTTTACACATAGTTTAGTCACTACATATCACTTATATTGACATACACCATCACTATTTCTAATACATTAATACACTTACAAATAGACTACTTACTTACACTTGTATGGTGGTGTTGCAGAATGTGAAGATTTTATATAGCAATTTATTATCTTCAACAAAATATCAACAATTTAAGTATGCAATTTCTAACTCAAAAATGCCAAAACTGCCAGCTTGTCAATTATAAATAAACAAAAATATATAATAAAGGAAACGTATATATGGTATGGATAAATTAAAACAGGATTATTTTGGGCTTTTAGAGGAAAACACTATCAAAATATTTATTCTTCTTGTTAAATAAATTTTCTTTAAATTTAAGCAAACATAAGAGAGCAAATGATACACAATACAAGGGCATGTAACACATGCGTGTGTATAAAATCACAATTAAACAAGCATGTATTATACCAATTCATGCATCCTCTCCTGGATGCCTCAAATTTATAAAACTACATTCATTGAAAATCATGATTTCATAGCAGTATTTTATAAAATTTGGTTTAATGGTTCATGAAGCCCACAGAAACTTACAAAGTAGAGCGAAAGTCATTCTTCAGATTTATTTACAGTGAATAAAGCAGTGCACACAATCATATTTCATTTTAAATTTGTGTAATTCCAGTTTGTGGTAGAGAGAAAACATTGTTTTTCTCTCTTAGCTGTGTTTTTACATTAACTCTTTTTCTATTTTACAACAGCTGTAAGGAGGTGCAATAAGACAATCAGAAATTTGTCTGGCAATGTTTGTTTCTAAAGGGTGTCATGTGGTCAGCAAATCAGATTTGATCATTTAATTTCTGTATTTTCATGTCTGAATTTTGCTGCTAAATTTATTTAACTTTTGTATCATTGAATACATGGATTTTTGTTTATTCTCAAATTATATTGGATATGTTGGATGTGAAATTCAAAAAAGCCTTCTCCGTTTTATCACATAAGGGGTGAATAATAACAGTTGTCTGAATTGGTCCTCAGGAAGAAAGACATGCCTATGCCAATAGTTGAAGAAAAGCATTTGGCGTCTTACAATTTCCTTACAAAATATTAAATCAGCAAAGACAGTTTGGGACCTGTCTAACCTGAAACTCCACATATGGAGTTTCTCATGTTCATGCCAGTAGACAGTATGACAACTTCTGCCTTACACTTTGAAAATAGTTGAACAAGAATATGTTCCACAGAAATACTTTTGCCAGATCCTATTACTCTTCGCCTTGTATTTTTTCTTCAATATCTACCTTGGGTACAATGTGTCATCCTCTAATTTTCTTTAATATCTACCTTGATTCCCCTCACATTATTTAACTAAATAAGAGGAACTTAAAGATGAGAAAGGTTAGCTCAGCAAGAAACAGAATTAGTTGCTCTGAGTTATTTTAAGTTGCATGAACAAAAAGTTGATCAAATATGTAATGAACATTACTCTCAATTGAGAAGAAAATTTTCCTCTAACATTACTTTTTGCCCCCATTAAGTTGGGTAATGTTAACAAGAGACAAAATTATAGAAATATTCCAAATTTAAGTTATAATATTCCAAGTTTTGCAACTTAGTATTTGCCTTGTGGCATAGCAAGAGATTGATTTTGAAGAAAATAATTATAAGCAAAACACAATCTGACAGAGGTTTTTAAAAAGACTGCATTTGTAATTTCTTAATACAAATAAATAAACATGCATGAATTATGCTCTTACAGATACGTTAGTGCAGAAATATGCCGCCTTTCACAATCCAAAAAAATTGTACAGGAATTCTGGGAAGAAGCATTCACTGTGAAACACATTCCAAGGTGAAAGTAGAGTGATAAATATTTACAAAATTATATACTAAAATTTAGGATTTTTTAAATGTGTATCAATTAGCTGGAGAATATAAAACCTGTGTACCTACACATGTAATGTGAGCAGTAATACATAATAGTGAATGTAAGTTAAATTTCACAAATATGCTAAGCAAAGAAATCACACGAGTGTTCTTGTTCTGGTTTTTCAATATTTAAATAAGACAAAAAGCAGTTGTTTGCAGGCACTTCAGACACATCTTTGTTCACTGGGTTTAGAATATATTTGGAACATTACCAGCTTTACATTACTTTCTTTTCTTTTACGATAGGGCTGCTCAAGTGGGTGGCCTACTTTACATACCCGAGCCAATCTATAAGCAGGCAAGCTTGTCAAGTTAGCCTGACAGAAGGGGAGAGATGGGACTCAGCTACAGGCGTTTTACAACAAATGTTACAAACCTCTAGAGGGCTTGAAAATGATTGCTTTTTGCTAATGAACATGTAGTGGGAAATATATGAGAGTTACACACACAACATTTGCTCCATATTGTTAGATCATTCTGTTTTGGATAAATGTTCTGCAGGTCATGTTCTGATGTAGCCAAGAATATTTTCTGAACCTGCACAACACATGTCCATTAGGAGTTGTCTATCAGGGGCAAATGTCACTTGTGTAACCCTGTTCTATGAAATTTCTCACTTCATGCTCTCTGGCTAAAAGTAGTCATTTTCAACCCCTTCCCCTTCCTTCATACCCTGGAAGTGTGTAACATTCACACTGAATTACTTAGTATAGTCTAGTGAAAGGCATGTGGCATACAGGAAACTGCAGGAAGTATGGCCCAAATTCCTGCATTTGAGTAGCCCTGGCTTCAGTGTCCAAGACAAAAAGTAATCAATTAATAGGTGTTCTTGTTAGGTTATGTACGATATTTGAGACTTGCAAATCAAGGCAGAAATATTTGTTAAAATATCACTAAATACTCAAAACAAGCATGTATTCATAATACTACTAATAGCTTAATTTGTATGTGAAACAATGTACAAGTGTGTACTTGCCTGTAGGTGTAAATTCCTCATATGTGAAGCACAACACATTACTATTTACTAGCATGCAAACTCAAAAAACCAACATGCTTATTCACATAGACAAGAACATCAAAGGCACAAAAGATTCGTGCATGCATTTGTATCTGCATCTGCATTTCTATTTCCATCAAGCATGCATTTGACATGCTGGATGAGTGTTACTCAACAACTAACATAAAAGCTTTCTCCTACCACACATATTCCATAATAGCAAAAAAACGTTAATAAAGAAAGCAAAATTAATTAGAAAATCATTTTACAAGTACCCAGATAATTAAAGACAAAGTTTTCGAATTCACTACAGTTACATAATAGAAAGGTAAATAAAAATTAATTTTTTCCTGTTCCTTCCATACTATAACTTTAACTGTATGTTTTTTTTCCCACACATATCCTACCAAATTACTACATAAGTAAATAGTCTATGAGGTAAGTGATTTTAGGTTTTTTAATACTGCAAGAATTGTAATTTATATAAAAAAAAAAATTTAATACTTATGCAGAGAATTTTATTTTGTTTTATGAATTTTGGAAATCTATTAAAATATTATTACTGCAAAAAAGCAAGAACATCACTACACAAAATGAACTGAAGATGAAATTGTCATTCAAATTTTGCATTGCTCTCCACTGAATAAAATGCAGTAAAGTTCAGAACAGACATACTACATTATAGGACCAATTATCTTCCTAATCATTCCTAGCATGATCGTAATCATGTAAGTTTGTTTCCATCCAATAATATTCCTCTTTCAATATTGAATTAACAATTGTTCCAACACTGATTTTTCTTAAACATGAAATTCGCATTTTAAAAAACAAATTATCCAATAAAACATGATGTTTCTCTAACTCTTGAATGAACTACGTATTTACATAATGTAATTTACATAATTAATTTTCTTTCTCTTTCTTTCTTCATTTTATTTTTGCATTGGCTCACAGTGCATTTTCTACACATATTCTAAAGTTCTCATTTAATTCCACAGTCTAAAAATACCACAACACATTTCAAAAAACATACATTTTTCCCCCAATCAAGTCGTTAATTTTATTCATTACACCACAGAGAGCTCTATTAAAATGAGGCAGAATGTTATTAAAACTTAAATATTATTGTATTTATAAAATTTATACTTAAAAAATTCAGAGAATAAAGAAAATGGACTGTAACTCACGTCTGATGGTCTCCTGTAGGAATCAAATGACCTTTCTGAGCAGACACTGGATGTTTCACTGTCATCTGAATGATCATCAAATAGTCGTTTTCGAGTATGACCCCCACGTGCATAATCGCCACTTTCTAGAGAATCACAAGTCTGGAATGCAAACAATATAGCTATAAATAAAAACTTACATTAATTATTTAAACAAGCCAGTTTAATTATGTGTTCATCTATGTGCACATGCACACATGAAAGTGTGAAATAAAACTTGTTTACAGAAAAATGATGTAATGAATTCTCCTATCAAAAGAAAAAGTTAACAAGTATGGTGACTAACCAACGCATCTGCAATAGCAGATTCTGCCTCACGGCTTTGCTGCAATATCTTCTGTGCCATTACAGGACGAACAGAAGGTCGCTCTAGGCCAGCTAATGAACGACCTCTGCAACTGTAAACCAAGAGCAACAGCAATGGGAATTAAATTGTAAGGTACAAGAGCAGTAAAAATACTCTATATTAACTTCACTTTAAAATCCCACATACACAAAATATAATTAATTAATTAATGGACTTCTTAATAATTAATATTATTAAGAAGTCCATTATTAATACCTAAAATTGCAACAAACTAGCGTAAATGAAAAGCTAATAATCTAAGAAATACAAAAAACAACAACAACAACAACAACAAAAGCTAAGATTGTCTGCTCTTTTCACTGGAATTAAAACATATGCTCTCAAAACCTCTGAGCCCTATTCATTAGATATACCCAACACATTATACTTTTTTCTACTTTTCTTCCAGCAAAACAATACCACACAAAACAATTCCTCATCCACAAATATGGGTATAATAAAAAAGGTTCCCAGACGTCTCAATTTTTCTGGTCATTTAGGATGGCAGATTATCCTGATTTTGGGATTTCGCAGAAATTATTGGATTAGGCATTATTCATAAATTTCCGGAAATGGCAACATAGCAATCTGAATCGATGTGATGGTGTTTTTGCCCTAGTTAATTGTGAAACGATAACAAAGGTGGTTGAAGTGAAACATGAGTGCAGTGAAATATACACATATAACAATAGTAAAATAAGAATGATTTGAAATAAATAGTCATTTTTATAAAAGTTAAATAACATTTTTAAAAAAAGCAATTTTACGCTGTCTTCAATTAATAAATAAAATGTTTAGAAAATTTAGAGAGGAACGAACTGGGCGTCGGGCTCACCTGAGCTTGCTACCGAAGGGCGCGGGCCCGAAGCGGCTGGGCGACGTCTCTCGCGAGGCCTCCCGCGACGCGCCGGTGGAGCGCGGGATGCCCGTGAGGCGGCGCGGCCGGCCGCTGTCCGTCGCGTCGCCGCTCCCGCCGCCCCCGCGCGCGGCCTCCATGCGCGCCGAGTACGTCGCGTAGCTCAGGCGAGAAGACGGCGACCCAGACCGGCTGCTCGCTGAGGACCCACGGCGACGACAAACACGGTGACGAGAGGACAACGGGCAGGCGGGAAGGCGAAAGAGGTTGCCATAAAGGCAGGAAGATGGGACCAGAGGCAGGAGGAGGATGGAGGCAAGGAAGAGCATAGAAGGTGGAATGGGTGTGCAGGCAAGAAGGAGGATGTATGCACGAAGGATTAGGAGACAGGGAGAAGGAACGTTGGGGAAAGGAAGAGCGTGGATGCAAGAAGAAAGAGGGTGTAGGCACGGAAGATGAGAACACGCAGGGAAGAAGAGGCGTGGATGCAAGGAGAAGCGTAGAGGCACAGAAGATGAGGATACACGAAGGAGTAGCGTGGAGGGAAAGGAGGAGGAGCCTGGAGGCACGGGGGATGAAACACGATGGTGCGAGGAGGAAGAAACGTAGAGGCAAGGAGAACCTTGGAGGCACGGGAGATGACACGAAGGAGGAACGTGGATGCAAAGAGGAGCAGCGTGGATGCACGGAGGATAAGGAGACACGATGCAGGAGCGAGGTGGGAAGGAGGGGCGTGGAGGCAGGAATAATGAGGCAAGGAGCGTGGACGAAGAAGAAGGAGCGTGGAGGCAAGGAGAAGGCAGGGGCCGAGGGAGAGGGAGGGACGCGGCGCGCGGGCCAAGCAGGCTACTCACGCTGCGACTGCGAGACGCCGGCGACGCGGCTGCGCGTGCGGCCCACGCGCTCGGGGGACGTGGCGGCGCTGGTGGTGAGGCTGCCGATGCCGGCGTCCGACGACTTGCGCGGCCGCGCTGCAACAGAGGCGGCGCCCGATGTCACTCGCGCGCTCCTCGTCCACTCGCCCGCCCTTGCCTTCCGACGTTCGTCTGCGCGGACGCGGTTCGGTAAGTGGAGAAGCACTCGCCGCCGTCAGCGGGTGGCAAAATCGGTACGCGAGGCGAGGCAAACATAGGCTGCCGATTCTTCAACACCTTCGCTTATTACTAGCCTGGGCTGACTGACACGGAGCTCAGCAGACCGTGCCTTTCGGAGTGGTAAGTTCTGCTCTTCCCAAAGTGACCACCGGGAAAAAGTGCAAACATACCGTACTGTGAGGAAACTTCGCGAGAATGGTCTCGTAAATTCTGATACAACTCATTAACATAGCTAAGGTACAGTGAAGAGTACTCTGTAATGAAATATCCATGAAGTTAAGTAACATGCTCGCCTCCTATGCCTGATTTTGAGAACGTCCGAACTCCCCTCTCTTTAATTTTCATATCTGCAAAGTTTTCATATTGCAGACATTGTAAATCAATGGACTGTGTCAATACTTCCTCACACACAAGAAGTTACTGTATAAAGTAACTGTATACAGTTACTTTATACAGTAATAGTCGACGTACAGCCGGACTCTGAGGAATTGGCCACAGTTATAAATCATTCTTTAATAATAACTATTTATTAAAGATTATACGGAAACATTCATGATATTTCAACTCAATTTCAAATCTTCGATAAATGTATGTACGTCTGGTTTCGGATTGTGAATAAGAACAATATTAAAGTACGAAATGGGATTCTCGGATTACAAACCGAAATGAGGCACCAGAATACCCAGAATACCAGAATAAAAGCCTAAGCATGGTCACTTGTCGTGTAAAATTGCACCACGGGCATAATAATTCAGAGAAAACAATCTATTTAGGACGGTCGCTTTCCCTCGCTGTAGTCCTCACTCCTTGGCTACAGCAATGCGCAGCAACGCAAAAACTGGACGATTGCTATCGGGGCGCAGAAAGAGGGGGCGAAGAGCGACGCCAGAATGAGTACTAGGAGACCACCACCAAAGCAACTATCAGCCGTCCAAACGTATTGTTCCTAGTATATCATGCAGCCCTGCGCAGCCTATCGGAAGACGCCGTCCCCGAAGGCAGAGAGAGAAGAGAGAGAAAGAGCTCGCAAGCGGAAGCCGAAGCAACTCACCAGCGCCGGCGTGGTGCTCGTCCCCTGCAGAGCGAGCAGCATGCGCACAGAAGAGACAAAGTCAACACCAACTCCAGCACAGCGACAACACCCCCATGCACCACACTAAACCCCATGGCCTTCCGCACAAGCCATCTGCCACCGACAAATTAGCGAGAGAAGCAGAGATCACCGCGATCTCTCTACCTCGGAATCGCCGGGGGAGAATTTTCTATTCCACCCCACACAATTTATCAGAATCTACAACACATCTGTTATATTAATGAAAATTTAATACTACTACTTACCTTCACCCATTATCCTTATTTAGAACATTAATTATTACATGATCGATACCATCAAACATTTCAACGAATTACATCTGTTCTTTTTCAAGTCAGTAATCTAGTTGGGGACATGTTACGAACGTCAGATCTCAATTCGAAGATACGAATTACCATCATTTTTATCAAAACATATGATTTCGTAAAACCATCGCACATGTATTTGAATTCCTTTGGGTTGAAGCTACCTAGCCAAGGTAGCTACATTCAAAAAGTCTTCCACGTAATAATGGAATAATAATAGTAATATTAAACCAGAAAGTTATAATCTTGTACAATACTGTTCCAAAATAGCAGGATACGGAGGACGTCCCACATGTATTTTCATCAAGGAAACGCGCAACTTACGTAGTACGACAAAAACGGAATGGTTTTAAAAATTTCGGGTTTTCGTGTGGAGAGAGCAAATCACCTTGCACGTAAGCTCCAAGGAACTCGCTCTGGCCATTCGAAACCTCGGTGCAGCGGAAGCTGTGCCGTTGCACGTCCTTATCCAATGCCAGACTCAGACACGGGCCTTACTTCTAGGGGGTACCCCAAAGATACAATTGCTCGTCTATTATAAGCATCAAAAGGAAATATTAAATTCGACTGATTTTTCAGAATATTAAGAATTTCACCTCGCCGAATGTAGAGCACGAAAAAAGGCATTGTAAAAGCATATGATAGTCTTAACGATTCAGTCAAGATGTGTGCATTTAGGGTTTATTGTTTTCTTCCAACCGTTGTTAAACTAGTAGTGAAACTCATAAAAACACACCACCTCACTGCCTCGTGGCTGCACCCGGACTGCTCGCCGACTCTTTCAACGCACAATGCGTCACAACCCAGAGTATTCTTTCTGATACCCTCGCATGGCCTCCAATGCGGCTCTGACCAAAGAATGACAATTGTCAACGCGGGGCCGGCAGAAGCGTGAATACAAGCCGTGCTCGTGCACCTTCCCAAGCTCAGAGAGCTGAAGGGAGTAAATTCTCCTAGGGCACACGCCTTGAAAGACAAGCGACCCCAAGGTCGAATTCTACGCTTACAAATGAAGCTTTGTGCCTTCACTGTGCGGCTGCCACGACGAACTCTTCACAGGGCCAAGAGACTTGCAGATGTATTCACTCCATGAAGAGTATCTCGCGCCTCTGCCAATTGCATTAAAATCGCAGATATTCCGTTTCATGAAAGTTTTTCTTCCCCCACAGGACATGAAAATTCGTTCCGTTTCCTCGTTGGACAGATTTCGTTCTATGGTGTGTAAATACTGCCACTTAACTTCACGGGCCGAGGAAATTTACGGTTAAGGCAGGATTCCGGCTTGTACAGATTCCGGTTCAGACACATTTTACTGTACTAGATATTAAAATTTCCGTAGTAATATCTTAGTTATAATAATTTACTGTAATAAAGATTGTTATAAGCACAAAAACTTTAAATTTTTACGCAAGCAAACAAACCACACACATCCCGGGCCCTTCGGATCCTACAAACTGCACTGTCCCTACCCAACATTGTCAGCGCGCCAGCCCGCTGTCACGTCAGCTGGCTTTTCTTCGCTCACATGAACGGAGATCGTCGTGGGACGTCCTTCGTGGTATCCTATTTAGGGGCACGCAGCGGTGGCGATTCCACTGCGCACACGTTTCCGGAAGCTCTGTATACGAGTCACAGTGCATGCGTTTATTTATTAATTTTACGTAAAAAAAAAAAAAACATTTAAAAACTGTGTGTGACTTGTTACGGGGAGAAGAGAAATCTGTATACGTTTTCATAATTCTGCTGTCATTTCCCTAAGCCATATTAGTTGAATTTCCAAAACAAAGAAATGAGCGTTTTTTGCAATGATAGTTAACATAATATTCGCTTCGGTGTAATAAAATCCATGTTCAAGGGAAAATACGCCATCAATTTGGGCTCTTATCCCTCATCGTGTCTTTCGTGCAGGAATAATACTTCCTGCCGCGACATGGAGAACGATAATTTGAATAACTAGATCTCCCACAGAATTCTAGATGTGCACAGATAATGAAGTTACATTTATGTCCAGAAGAAAAACAACATCACAGTATTTGCTCAAAGGATCAGGGAAACTGGACGAAAAACCTGATCGAAATGAAGGTCATTGACCCAGAAGCTTCGGTACAATGCTTGTTACGGGTTGTCTACAATTACACAGTATAAATGGTATATAATACATTAAATATCAGTCAAAATTAATGTTACTTTCCTTTTGATGCTCGGTATAGCCTCTAATTGTAGAGAGTTATGCAGCAGAAAAGATACTACTTGTAACTACATGGCACGACACGCACGCTGGGGTATCTTAAAAACTTCGCCGAGAAAAGCTTTATTTACAGTTTACAAGCAAAGCAAAGGGCCATCTAAATATTAGCTCGACGAATCAAAAGAAATAACGAAAAATCTCGAGATGAGTTGTCATGGACAGAGGAGCTAATCAAAATGGATGTTACATGCATTTTCGGTCCTTTATACATTTCAATATATATCCTTTTATAATATTCCTTATACAATTCAACTAATTCATGCGAATTTTAATTTAAAATAATTATTTCTCTATCGGTGGCGGTTGAGGTTGAGCATTCCGCCAAGGATATTGCTTCGTCAGGCCTCGCAGCTCCCAGAATTTTCGCACCAAAATAATCAGTAAGGTCTTCAGTACTTGTTTTCAGGTCCCTCCCCCTCCCAGTTATTTCTGATGCGCAACGTATAGTAGGACACGACGAAGGGCATTCCCACATTCCAAGGTGGAATTATTCATGGAGTCTGCGAGATTTATTTAAACATGAGGGATACAATCCAAGACAACACACTTATCGTACGTTTGTTGACCTACTGCTATCTCAGATACCATGGTACTCCACTTTCAAAGCAGACTTAGAAGGCTTGTTGGTTAGTCGATGTTGGTCTGCCGAATACATAATTCATCAGTTATTTATCTGATGTCTAATGTTGATGACTAACTTTGAAGTGTGTGTGCATGTGGACAATGAGATCTTTAGGATCCCAAACAACAACCCACTGGAAGTCCTCCACTACTTCACTTTGTCGGTATATCATGTGTGGAAGTGAAAACCCCTTACCTTTGCACTATTGAAGCCTATGTCATAAGAGACTTTCAAATGAACTTTGCATTTAGCAATTTTTAATACAGATCAAAATTAGCAGTTTAGTTACTTAAAATTAATATAAAAACTTAACTTCATTAGCTTAATACTTGCTTTATACTCATTGCTTAATACTTGGCATTTTTTCTGAGGAGGAGTATCTTCATTATGAAAAACAAATGTTCTCAATACTGGCACTAAATGCAATTGTCAAAGCAAATAGAATAACATTCAGCAGAATAAAGAAGAATATACTTTGTTGGTACTATAAACTATTGAATAAAATAATATCAAAGGAAAATAATCAAATCACAGAAAATTGAAGTGGATGGTATCCACAGTGCAAGAACATGATGCACACAAACAATGAGAAATGAAAAAACAAATAGT